TTAAAAAAAAAAAAAAAAAAAAAAAAAAAGAATTAAGGACGAGCAGGTCAAGATCGAGTTGTATGCAATTATCTCGTAAAATATTAATATTTTTTATTAATGGATTGATAAAAAGATTGAATCATTTGTAACCGTTACAAAGTCAGTCGTATTTTCAGTGTTATTAAAATAATATGCTTAATCTTATTCGTAAGCTATAGACTCTTTGAGATCCTATATTAGTTGGAGAGGGGAACGAAACATTCTTTATAATAGTGTGGAAACCTCTCCCTAGTTTACGCGTTTTAAACCCTGAGACTGACAACGACACATAACAAACCAAAGCGGATAATATTTGTTACTGGTGGGCTTGAGTTTGTTACATTATACGTGTCTAATAAAGCGTAAACCCAATTAAAGATATTATAGCATCAATTCTCTGCTTTGTTTCGTTCTTCTATCAAACCAATGTGGGTTGTTAATGTTCTCGCAGGCACACCACTTGGTGTCTGGCTTTGATATCATTTGTAACAACCCAAGTCAACCGCTAGCAGATATTGTCTCCATTATATATCGTCGTCAGTCTCACAGTTTTAAAACACGTCTACTAGGGAGAGGTTTCCACACCGAAAAATGTTTCATTCCCTTCTCTAATCGATATCGGATCTTACCTACTAAAAAAAAGTCGGAGCATCGTGTGTGTATATGTACATATATAATAAATTTAGTCAAAGTCAAAATTTTAGACCAAAGGGAGGGTGGAGGTTGCAAGCCCGCCAGCAATGGTTAATGAAAATGAGTTGTAAAAAGCTATGTATTATTAAAATGGTTAATGAAAATGCTTAGTTACCTAAGTCCTCCATTAAACTAATTAATTACACGTCAACAAATGTTTACGATGCCCACTGCTAGTCGATATTGTCCTCTTTAGCTTTTACTCTCGGGTTTTCCCTAAAAGTTTTTAAAACGCATCTATTAGGAAGAGGTTTCCACACCCTTATAAAGAATGTTTCGTTCCCCTTTTCGACTGCATCTGGGATCTCACAATCTACCCCATTTTGGGTCCAGCATCTGGGATCTCACAATCTACCCCATTTTGGGTCCAGCATCCTCGATTGGCATTCATCCCCTCTCCAAACGATATGGAATCTCACACTATCATTTTACAAGATTCAATTCATTCATGTCTGTATAAGGGAACATGCTTCTTTGTGTTACTTATATGTATATGATATATACTTGTATTGAAATGCAAGGGTACGACAGACGATGCATCATCCAACACATCAAGAAAAGTGTGAATATGGTTAGAGATAATAAGGCGACACATGTGTTAAGGGTAAGCTCGAAGAGGGTCGGATAGAGCCAGAACCTCGAAAGTTAAGTTTCGATATAAATTTCAACCGTGAAATCCGTTCTAGATAAACTATTTGAAATAGTTATCTTCATCCTTTTAAAATATATAAAGATTATTCCCAATTCCACCGCATAGAATTTAGGGCTAACAGAGCCGACAGAGGAAAATGGGTCTGTTCTTGCTCCTTCCAATGGAGTAAAAAAGGTACACAACATTGTTCATATCTGAACCATTCTCTTTATTTTACAACAAATTCAACGTACAAACAAAGCAAGATCGAAAGTGGGTTTGGGAATCATGAATAAACTACCTTTACTTTTCCATGCATTGCGATGAACCAAGGCCAATTTCAATGGCCTTAGTGCAGCTTCTGACACACATTAAGCTGTGTTGTTTGACTTAGATTGAGGAATTTTTATATGGGTTGGTTCCAAATCGTCAAACTGGTGGACTCTGTCTTTGTTTGTGGCTGGTAATCTGCTTTTTTCCCCCTTATTCTTTGAATTCTTTTTGATAATGGATATCACTTTTGAAATAGTGGCCGGCAATCTAGTGATGAATCAAAAGGGGGGACATATTATGTTTACGTGATTATGATGAATTTGGGGGATGCCATTTTGATCCGAATGGATATCTAAAGTCAACCATGGAGAAATTTAATCATAATGCATAATCCATAGAACTTCGCATTTTAATCGTGTGATTCTTGATGATATTCTCACCATAGTTCTATCCCAACTCTCCTTGCTTTCAGATCATCACCATAGATATGGCTTTGCATCTTCAAGTTGCTTATTGTTCTTGTATCCTTATTGGTTTACTCTTTATAATGGTAAGTCTTGTAGATTTTCAATCCTTACTACAATTTGGAAATGGTTCTGTTTGTTTGTGTTCTTTGAAACGTTTTATTTGATTTTCTTAACAAATCAAGAACTTAAAACAAGAACAGATTGAACTTTGACAGCTTTAGGACTTGTTCTTTACTTTTCAATTCTATTGCAGGTTGCAGAACAAGGTGCTGCTAGGAAATTAAAAGATGGGTATGAACAAGACAATGAACAGTTTGTGAATCTGAAGATTAATGATCAAATAGATACTCATTTGGAGAATTTGGATCCTTTATTATATGTTTTCTTCTCCTTAAGTGATATCACAGTTGGAAAAAAGTTGCCTATTTACTTCCCTTACTCAAAGCCTTCTGAAACCCCAAAATTATTACCTAAAGAAGAAACTGATTCCATTCCTTTCTCTACATCACAACTTGAATATCTTCTAAATCTCTTCTCTTTTCCAAAGGGCTCTCCCCAAGCCAAAGCTGTTGAGTATACTCTTAAACAGTGTGAGCTTGAATCCATCAAAGGAGAGACCAAATTCTGTGCCAATTCTTTAGAATCATTGCTTGATTTTGCTACACAAATGTTGGGAGGTGATACCCATTTGAAAGTTTTGACAACCACTCGTCTCTCCAACTCTACTATTCTCCTTCAAAACTATACGATCTTGGAGGAACCCAGAGAAACTTTGGCTCCTAAAATGGTGGCTTGTCATAGCATGCCTTACCCTTATGCTGTTTTTTACTGCCATTGTCAGGAGAGTAAGAACAGGTTGTTTGAGATTTTACTGGGGGATGAAAATGGAGATAGAGTTAAAGCTAGTGCCATTTGCCATATGGATACCTCTCAGTGGGACAAAGATCATGCCTCTTTTAAGGTTCTGAAAACAAAACCAGGAGCTTCTCATGTCTGCCATTTTGTTTCTACTGATAGTCTGGTTTGGTTAGCTGCCTAAACCTATAGATAGTTTACTGGCTGTTTGTAAGTGCTATTGTGTTGTACGTGAAGATTGCTCTATGAATTGTTTTGGTGTGCTGGTGTATTCACGATATTTACATCTCTTAGGTATTATGAACATGGATAGGCTGCTATACGTCTATTCTTTTACCATTCATGTTTTATATTGATAATGAATCGATCGTTTGAATAGTGAGTGATGGTCTTCCAAAGTAGTTTGATTGTGATTAAATGGGGTGACATAAAGGTAAATGTCCGAAAATAGATTCAGTGTGATTGTAAGATTACACGTAGATTGGGAAGAGGATGGTAGGCTTTTAATCTTTACCCCATAGAAACCTAAAATATGAGAAATTGAAATAAGTAACTTACTTCCGAGCATAAAAATGTTTAGAGTAAAAACAAGATTAAAAAAATAACTCCAAATTTCAAACCCTCTTAATAATCATTTGAAGTTCCTAATAAAACAATTTCAGCATTAACCTAACATTCTCTTGCACCGTGATTTCAACATGAATCCGACATTCTTGTACAACATGATCATGTTATCGATTTGTTTTGAAGTGCTTCCAAGAACGAAAGTTATTTTCAATATTTTCAAGCTTGATTTTCATGCACTCTTCTTAGTATGTTAGGTGATGCACCATCCTCCTCAATTGTATTATGGTACTTGGCTGTCTCAGTCCACATGATTGAATGGGTGAGACGTTGTAAGTGAGGGTCATAACTTATTGTTTTCTTTGTACAGTTTCAGCACAGGCAAGCATTTGGACCTAATCAATACATATTCCCTAAAATCGGACAAATTTCTCATGAAATTATCCAACATATCTCCTAATAAAGGGATCGCATTATCTCCTAATAAAGAGATCATGTTCACTTTCTTACATTGACCTCAGCTACAAACCCTAGAAGTCTCTAAATGGTGAGCCAAATTTCATTGCAAAGGGAGCTATGATTCCCACCCACTCCATAGACTTGTTAGTGCTTACGAGTGTTCATACAAGGAGTTTACCAAATATGATCACAAATATTTTGAAGTGAATCTATTTGTAGGCGATCAACATTCAACATAATGGATCTTTGTACTGATTGTATGCTTTTTAATAGTGAGTTTTTTCATTGAAGTTTAAAAAAAAAAAAAAAAAAAAAAAATTGCAGTTCATAATGTGGGACTTAAAACCTTGTAATATTCTCGATTATATATATACCGAAGATATGGTTTTTTTTTGTCAATTTTTTAAGGTAGAAATAGTCTTTACAAGCTTAATTTTCAGAGACCAAAAATAAAAAATCGAATAGTTATTTATGACAATATATTTAATAGACAGAAACAGTGTAGATAGTAAGGTATTATGCAGTTCAAAGTAGTCTTATTTAAAAAGACAATCTTAAATCTGACCGTAGCTTTCAAACATGATTTCAGTATACTCTAATCATGTTCAGGCCCTAGCCAAGGTGACAGTCCAAGAAGACAATTTGAAGAACAGGAATTTTGACAAGAATGGCATTAAATATCGACTTGGCTGCAAATAAATCATTGTGTTCTCAAACAACAGCTCATGTGCATTGATTCGGAGGATTTGAGAGTTTACCAGTGAAAAGATGCACGTGCCTGAAAATTTGATTGTTCTGTATCAAAGCATGGATGAGCCCCATTCAGAAGTTAAGTTCTGCATAATCAAAGCACTGTATAGTGCACATATAGCTGATGAATGATCAGAGTTCGCCAAATCCAAACTCAGTATTCTGTTTCGAGCACACCGTCGATAAGCCCAAACTCCAAAGCCTACAAGAGAAGGCAAATTTTTTTTGAAGTTTCAGTATTCTGTTTCTTATCTTTGTTGCAGTAGTTCACAGGAGTTCGAGTCATGTATCGGATATTCCAATGTCGAGGAAGAGATTTTATCATACAGTATGATCCCGAAAAAAGTTATTTTTAATTAACTTACTCCCTACATCATTATTATCCTTTCTCATTTTTGAGACAGATGGAAAAAAAAAAAAAAAAAAAATTAACTTCAATCCATTCACTAAACACTGCACATTGTTACCTCAGAAACAGACAAAAACCGATCCCTCTCCGTGTATTGTTGTACTTTCTCTAATGGTTGGCCAGTAAATGCAGCATACATCATGTCAACTTTCTGTAACAATAAATCCAGGGAACAATGAAATGATCAAATGATTAATGAATAATGAAACCAAATACTGCACCAAATCTGACTGCAAAGTGCAAAGATCACAGTGAAAGGAAGCTCACAAACACAGCAATGCAGTAGCTTTTAGTTATAAAAGTTTCGCACTGTTCCATTTCTTGACATCTATGAATGTCATGAGACAACCATCAAAACCTACGATATTTGGTTTTAAAGCAACGGGTAAAATCAATATATCTTAAGTAGGCGACCACACTAAAATTTTGAACTCATTTTCCTAAGCTCCATTTTTGGGTTGGCCAAAGACTGCAACTCAATCAACTTTTGTTGGAGAGGACTCGACCTTTCTAATATGCTTAAATATAAATAAAATAATCCCTTCAAATTTCATGAATTATATTTTCGTCTACATAGTTTCAATTTCTACCTCCTAAAGATGATGAAGATAGCTACATTTGCAATTGTCACATCCTTCTCAAACGGCAGACCAGATAATTTTGTAAATATTATGACTCAGCAATTACACCTATGGTGAATCTACTGGCTCACCACCTACTTGCACAGTAGTGTTCGGTTTAGCATCAGTTAAAAGCTCCATATATGGTAAAACGATTTCTCATTAGTTCTAAGTTATAATAATTTTTAGTTTTAGATTCTTGTTGCAACGGGCAAGAACATAATGAACCAAAGGCTCGGCAAGCATTATCCAAGGCAATGTCAAATCCAATGGTCAGTGTTTATTTCCCAAGTAAGAAAGAGATACTAACATGGCGTGATTGAACTGCTTCATTGACTTGGCGTCTAACATCTTCCACATGACCCTGCACTCATCCAAAAACATCTCATTATTACTGAACGTTGGTTACTTCATTCTTTCTGGTTCTCACTTGTCACGATGCCAGAAGTAGGAGGAAGAAATATTAGACAAATATATATTGGACCACTTCAAAACTAGACAAAAAGCATAATATTTGCTTAAACTTCAAGGCAGTAAATCACTTGGAATGGGGAATATTATAATGACACAATAGTTCAAGCAGCCATAAAAGTATTGGTCATTAGGGAAAAAGCACAGACACATAGGAACAGCTCAAATCAAGACTCACAACAGATTATTTTGATATTGAGGGACTGCAATATAATATAAAGGATAACATGTATTTTTCTCCGTCACTTTTCCTCTCATGCTCATGTTCTTTTTAATGTAAGCTCAGATTGTAATAAAATTTTAGCCATACCCCACATCCACTTTGTGGCTGATGTATCATAATTCGAGAATTTGGCATAGCATAGCGCATTCCCTTTTCTCCACCTGCAAGGAGAAGAGCCCCTTGGCTTGCAGCAACTCCGAAGCACACTGTGCCAACCTTAGGCTTTATCTGATAGCATGAGTCAATTATCTCTTATGAGAAAAGTATCCTCTTCCTTTCATATTCAAAATATAGATAGATTAATACGAGGTGATGGCTGGTTGCTCTAAACAGAAAACCAAATCAGAACAATGCATTATATGTTTTATATAGCTAATGATAGTTACTATGATCTAATGCAAGACTAAAGCATGAAGCATAGGAGATATTGCTACCCCATAACAGCTCGTTGATTTTGTGAACATTGAAGCATCAGAAAGACCCTCAATATCAAAATAAATAACTGAAAATGTGGATGCAGAAGTAACATAAAAAATAATAATAAGGTTTAAAAGAACTAAACAAAAAAGGTAAGAGAGATGGAGAGAGAGTTTTGCAATCTTACCCAAGACATGCAATCATAAATTGCTAATATTGAGTACGTACTTCCACCAGGGCAATTCAGATATACCTAATAAGGTCAACAACTAGGCTTACAGAAAAATTTAAAACAAAGAATCAAAATCTAGATTAACAGATAGGGGGAAAAAGGGGGGCTTATTTATGTTTTTGCCCACCAGGATATCCGACTCCTCATCAATGGTTGCTAGTGTCACGAGCTGTGATATAACTCGCTGTGCAACGGCAGAGTTGATGGGTTGACCAATAAATATGATACGATTCCTAAATAACACAGAAGAGAGATTCAAAGGCCCTCCTGGTGTCATCACTGCAGGCATAATTGGTGGATTGCCTTTCTTGGCCATTATAGGTCCATAACTGCACAAAAGTGAAAATGCCCATCAGATTAATTCTTTCAGCAGGTTAAAGGAATAAAATTCGAAGGCATAATATCTTGTTAAGGGAAAAGAAAGGTAAAATATAAAGGAATGCTAAACAAAAGATAGTGTTGCATAGAAAAAATTTACATTCATCCCAATTTGAGATATGCAATCCAAATTATATTACCTTTCAAAAAATGGTTATGCCAATAAATAAACATTCGGTAAATGCTAGAAACAAGAAATGGGGAACAATGCAAACCTTGTACTGGTGTGAAGAAAATCTTCGTCAAGGTTTAAAGGTGTCCCAACTGTTTTGCTCGATAATCCTTCAAAAGGGAGAGAGAAGTCCACATAGTCATATTCATAATTCAATGCATCCACATAAGTGCAATTTCGATCATGTACATCAATAAATACAGAAAAGAAAAAAACAAAAATTATCAGAGAATTGATATCGAGTTGTAAACATGGTGAAATGGATATGAGAAAGTAGGAACAACTTAGTTCCTGCAAAAATGAATTCCTCCGCTACAAAATTAGGGCATTCATATCCGCACATACAAAGATTCAGAAACATCAATCGCAGAAAACCGATTACCAATTGTTGAAGAGTCTCCATACGGTCTCGGGATGGCAGAAACTATCGACCTGCGTGAATTTCTACACAAAGGAACCAGAAAAGAGAGGAAAAAACTTAAGAGTTGCAGAGGGGATTAGGCAAATGAAACAGGAATAGAAAATGTATAACCGGCGAGAAAGCTGAGGAACGGATGATGCTCTATTGTGCGAAGAGACAGAGAAACAGAGAGATGCAGTAAAAGCTGAAGCTACTGCCATGGCGAGCAAAGCTTGTGGGAATGTTGCTGCGTTCTCGAGCTTCACTGACTATGAAATTACAAACAATATCGATGAGGCTCCGAAATTATCCTCTCGTTTGGACTATTTTACAGATTTGCACTCGGCCCAACGGCCCGGCCCAGATCTCCTCGGCCCATGACGACAAAAAAAAAATCAAATAGCTTAGGCTTTTTTTTTTTATTATTATTTAAAAAATTAAATGTTAAATTAATAATTAAAATTTCATAAATTTTAAATATAAAAAATTTATATTGGTTACTCATTTAAATATTCAATTTTATTTTATTTTTAATGTTAAAATAGGATTGAGTTAGATGGTAACTCCATTTTTTTGTTTTATTGGTCGAGTTGGACCGGATGAAAAAAATAGTAATTCAAGTTGATTCGTTATAGGATTAGGATAAGAGAACACAATGAAGTGTGACTAAAATCACATGGATCACGAGATGTTGGAAACACGTCTCATATGAAGTTGACCAAGGAACTCGAGCTTTAACCCAGAACACAGATGTTGGGAGCAGGTCTCATATGAGGTCGGCCAAAGAACTCGAACTTTGACCCAATTTCTCTTTTTTCTTTAAATGGGTGGTTTGGGTTCCTTCGTGGTTAACTCGTGTTACTCGGGTTGGATTTTCAACCTCATTTGGTGTTTGAAGTCATGGTTAGACTTCTGACCAAGTGCATAGAGCCGAATTTGGAAGTAATCTTTTTGATTTTTGAGTTCATAGTCAATATATATTTGGAACAAATTCAAATGGGTCACAAAATTGATGGTTTATAAATTTATTAAATTCAAAATTTTAAAATTTAAGAACAAATAAATGGATCGTTAAGCCCTCTCTTCAATCTTCAAGTTCGCCTTCGTATCGAGCAGGTGGCCGGCAGATCGATTGAAGATTTGCAGTTGATCGGAGCAGAAGATTTGCGGTTTGCCTCGCCCCCTTTTCTCTTTCGGTGTTACTATCATTTCTTTATCTTTCTCCTTAACTTCGAACAGACCCAATAAGGGAGGAGGAGCCCTAGACGCTTTTCAAATTCGATATTCGTGGATTATTCTCTTTTTCGTTGATTCTGGTCTTGTTCTTCTCTTGTTCTTGCTTAATTTTATCCTCTTCCTTCGCTTCAGCATCATCAGTTTCTCCATTCAGCCAATTTGCCACCCCCGATCTAAAAAAAGACGGTGCGATGGCCCGAATGATCCTCTTTGCAAAGATGCCAATCAGAACTGTATACTGTACAATTCTGTAGCCTGAACAGGTCTCTCCCCTCATTAACATAAGATTTTGTGTCACTGCTGTTTTATAGTTAATCGTTCTGTTTTCTTTCTGGGTGTTCAAGGGTTTCATCTTATGAACAAATTGTTGGTGTTCTGCGTTGTTTAACTCATTTTCCATTTTTGTCCTTGAATCTCTGTATGTTTTGCTACTAGAAATCAGCTAAGCTTAGAAATCACTGGTTCAGTAAGCTTTCCCCTGTAGCTGTTTGGTAATTAAGTTTCTTGAACTGTTTGACAGAATTAACGGCATTTTTTGTTAAATTCTTCGCGAACTGTATACTGTGTTTTGTTTGTCTTGTCGTAGTTCGTTGCATGGACAATAGTTTTCTGGGAAGTAGTCCTTGTTGCATTCGTCGTCACAATTGACGATTTTTTGTTTCCTTTTGGAAATACCATCTTAATTTACCAGTTTTCGTCCTCAGTGTTCATTTTTCATAAACCATTTAACAAAATATTTGAATTTGTTTCAAATCTACCCCCAAGTTTATTACAAATGACTTCAAGCACTTGTCTACTACAGATATCGTTTATTCCTAAAAATGGATAAAATGATGCCTACTTTAGTTTTTGTTTTTAGGAGTTCAAATTGTCTCAAATTGGCTAGTAAAAAGGAAGATTTGTAGTGTATTAGTAAATTCAATTATCTTCATTGGTAAGAGACTTTTTGAGTGGATCAAAAGCTGAGTAGACAATATCGTACAATCGGAAATATGCTAGCTTAATTGAAAGTTCGAAATCTAGCTTGCATTTTTGTGCATTTTGGACTCGAAATGTTTACTTTTTGGCTATAGGTATTCTGAATCAAAAGCTGAGTGTGGATAATATCATACTATTGGGAATTATGCTAGCTTAATTGAAAGTTAGAAATCTAGCTTATGTTTTTGTGCATTTTGGACTCGAAATGCTTCCTTTTTGGCTATCATATGTATAGGTATTTTGAATCAAAATGGTGAGTGGACACTATCATACAACTATGAATACGCTAGCTTAACTGAAAGTTCAAAATCTAGCTTGCATTCTTGTGCATTTTTTTACTCGAAATTCTTACTTTTTGGCTATCATTTGTATAGGTATTCCGAATCAAAAGCTGAGTCGACAATATCATACAACTGTGAATATGCTAGCTTAACTAAAAGTTCGTAATCTAGCTTGCATTCTTGTGCATTTTGGACTCGAAATGCTTACTTTTTGGCTATCATATGGATAGGTATTTTGAATTAAAAGCTGAGTGGACACTATCATGCAACTATGAATATGCTAGCTTAACTAAAAGTTCAAAATCTAGCTTGCATTCTTGTGCATTTTGGACTCGAAATGCTTACTTTTTGGCTATCAAATGTGTAGGCATTCTGAATCCAAAGCTGAGTAGACAGTTATTAACTAAAAGTTCAAAATCTAGCTTGCTTTCTTGTGCATTTTGTTCAAAATCTAGCTTGCATTCTTGTGCATTTTGGACTCGAAACACTTACTTTTTGGCTATCATACATCATATGTATAGGTATTCTGATATGGACAGCCTAGTGGACTCTTTAAATAACGCATATCAGGAGTTTGTTGCTGGAGCAGCTAGCGTCCTTGAAGCAAATGAAACCTCTGGGGCCCAGAAGACAGCAGCAACAGATGCTGCTCTTGAGAATTTTAAACAGAAATGGGAGCTATTCATGGTTGCTTGTGATCAAGCAGAGGAGTTTGTGGAGTCTGTGAAGCAAAGGATAGGATCAGAGTGCCTGATTGATGAGGCGACTGGTTCCCTGTCCAGCAAGTCTGGGCAGGCGGTCGCCGCCGCCACGACGACTGGCCTTCCTTCAATCAGTGCCATTCGGCTCGAACAGATGAGCAAAGCTGTGAGATGGCTTGTGATTGAGTTGCAGCATGGCTCCGGAGCTCCTGCTTCTGCTTCTGCTTCTGCTTCAGCCCACTCCCACTCTTCCGCTCCTTTTGATGCTCGATTTAGCGAGGATACAACCCAATAGGTACCTATCTTATAAAAACAGCTTGATATGGACCCGAGTCTGAGATTGTCATACCACTCGTAGGCTATAACATAACAAGTATTTTGTGTTTTTCATGTTCTTTATTACCTTCTCCCACGATCTTTTGTAAGACAGCTGAGAGCTTAGAGATTACATTCATCATTGCTGCCCTAGACATTGAAAATATATTCAATGATGAAAGTTTTCTCAAGCCTCGATTTGATATCTCGTTAGTTTGAACGAATTTGTCGGTAAAGCAGCTTTTCGTTCTCCTAACCCTATTTATGAGAATCTGATTATTCAAGTTTCCATATGATCGTTCGAAAAATGTTCGGTAATTGGTAGCGTGAGCTATGCTCAAATAGTTAGGGCATATACATTCGAAACTACTTAAAGAAGAATCATTTATTCGTGTTTTCATTTAACAATTTGATGATTCTTCAATACTTTATTATAATTTTGTTTTGTAATCAGAATTACCTAATATAAATATTATATATTATTGCATTAAGTAGTCTTTAAATTTTAAATTCATTTAACTATGAAATGAATACATGGAAACCAATCTAAAAATTAAAATATTCTACCATAGGTTTAATTCAAGTATTAATATTTAATACATTATTTTTTTTTTTTTTTACTTTACCATATTTAAAAAAGTTAAGTTGTTCGTAACTGATCTATCTTCATGGTTGAAATGCATCAATTTTTTATTTATTTATTGCATATTTTGTTTGATTTTTGCGAAATCTCAAAAATCATCTATTCTTTGATTGTCCCTTTTAGTTGAACCGTTAGTGGTAGTGTTCTAGTTTTGGAAACCTCTAACCATTAAATTTCTTCTAGGTCCACTGAGTCAGCACGAGTACGGGAAGCATCGATGACATCGTGTGTAGAGGCTAGTTTGGTGTGCTTCCATATGCCATATTTAGAGGGAACAAAATTTTCGACTACTTGAACTCACCAATATGTTCACTACATCATTTAAGTCGATGTTGCTCCATACGCTCCTCTAACTATGCTGGGTTTTCTTGATCAGATAGCTATTTGGGTCTTAATTTCTCTAGCTAGACTCAAATTTTTATCTTTACTAGATAATAATCTTATAAAAATTTAATTTTTTTTTGCAATAATGTTATGAATTTAGGAGATGGATGGATCAAATTATTTGAAAAAAGAAAAAAAGAAAAAGAAAAAGAAAAAAAAAAAAAGGAATTTTCACAAAAACATGAGGCCTAACGGTCCCGCTGACTCGGTAACGGTTGACAGAAATTAGAAAATAACGTGCGAAAGAGTGGAACCACAAGGGCGCGAAACTCACTCTCTTCTCCGCAACGTAACTCTCAACGAACACAATCCAATCAAGAACAAGATTCAACCCCGTTTCTTAACCAATAATATGATGCTACCGACCACTTCCATTTGATTCGTGATTTCTTCCCCCATGGAAGCATTGTTCGAGCTCTGCGATTTGATTGCTGAAAACCCCACTGCTTTCTACGAGAAGCTTTCATGGATTTGCAGTCGTTGCCCTCCGCCGGACGCCCTTCTCGCCGAATCTCCTCGGGTTTCTCGCTCCCAGCTCAATGCCATACTTGCCATCGCTCGATTTCTCTCCAAATGTGCGGATTGTTTCGAGATCCGTCCCAAGGCCGTCGTTCTAGAGTTTATTCGGTCTATATCTTCGTCTTTTCATCCGTCCTTCTGGCCGCAGACTTACGGAAATGATTCCATCACTTTGTTTTACACCGAGTTTTTGAGGTATGTGTCTAGAGCAGCCGAAATAACGCCGGATTTTTCT